CGTGTACACATATCCACATCTGTGCACACGTACGTGCATATCCACGCACACACGTGCACATACATATACACATGTACACATGTACATATACATCCCGCCCTGCCCCCGCCAACTGGCTGGCCCTGGTAGTAGGTTCCCGGAAGGGGCTTCCTCCCTATGGTGGAAACACAGGCTCTTTCGAGGCTGCCTGATTTAGAATTGGTGCAAGGACTTGGGACTCTTCCTGACTGATAATTGCAAAAACAGTTATCCATGCCGAGGCGTGGAGAGTGTCGTTAGGCACAGAATTTTTGTTTCGAGTAGAGCAGAGTAAATTTAGAATTGAATTACAATCAGAGTCAGTGGCATAAGCACTACATTTTGTTAGATTTTTGGCATTTTCCCCTCAAATTACTTTGCTTCAGTCTGTAGATTTGAATTTTAAATACGATTTCTCAGATTTTTTTCTACAGTATTTTAAATGTCAGATCAGAAGATTATCTGAGTCTCTTCCTCAGAAGTTTGCACTGGCCTTGTATCGCCAAGCAAATGCCCTCCCTACCATCCTGCCGCTCCCGCCCGCCGTGCCCAGGGTCTGTGACGCCCTCCTTACCATCCTGCCGCCCCCCGGCCACCATGCCCAGGGTCTGTGATGCCCTCCTTACCATCCTGCCGCCCCCACCCATCGTGCCCAGGGTCTGTGATGTCCTCCTTAACATCCTGCTGCCCCTGCCCGCCATGCCCAGGGTCTGTGACGCCCTCCCTACCATCCTGCCGCCGCCGCCCGCCGTGCCCGGGGTCTGTGACGTCCTCCTTAACATCCTGCTGCCCCTGCCCGCCATGCCTAGGGTCTGTGATGCCCTGCTTACCATCCTGCTGCCCCCTGCCCACCCTGCCCAGAGTCTGTGACATCCCTTCCCCCAGGACCATCCTGCGTTCACCCTTCAGGGCTACAGCTCTGTGAGTTTTGAGCAGCATTGCCTCTCCCCCGCATGTGGGCATCTCCACCTCCCAGAACCTTGGGCCCTGGCACTGCTGCTGTGGGCTGCGTCCTGTGCGTCTCTTCCAGGATGTCACGAGCATGAGGTCGTGGGAGCATGGCCGCTGGTGTCTGCTCCTTCCTCTCTGCGTGGCGCGTTGGAGGCTCGTGCGTGGCACCTGTGTGCAGCACTTTCCTTCTTCATGTGAGTCACGTTCCCTCCCGTGGACAGACCATCCGGTCACCAGCGGGGCACATTCGGTGCTTTCTAGTCTTTCACCATCACGGGTAAAGCTGATGTAAACACTTGCAGTCTGGTTTTTGTGAGAGTGTTTTATCGGATAAACACTCAGGCGTGGGACTGCCGGGCCGTAGGTACAGTCCTTGCTTTGTTAGAAACTCACCACATGCTGTTTTCCACACCCTTCGCGCCACGTCGCATCCCCACGGGCACTGGACGAGCTTTCCGGGTGCCGTGGTCAGGCCAGCATATGAAGTGGGGTTTGCTGTTTTTAGCATGTCGGTTGGTACGCAGTGGTGGCCTGCGGTGTTTTTGTTTGCGATTCCCTAACAAGAGGACGTTGGGATCTTTTCTTGTGCTGTGTTGTGCTTCTGCGCACCCATGCGTCGTCTTTGGTGGCCGTTCACATCTGTCATCTATTAAATCGGGTTCTCTGTTTCCAAGTGTGGAGTTTGAGGACCCCTGCCATGCCCTGGATGCAGGTCCCGCATCAGACTGTTTCACGCTCCGCAGCGGGGCCTCAGCTCTGGCTCCTGCTCCCCTCAGAGCTCTGGCAGCTGCCCCCTACCTCGGTGGAGGTGCTCCTTGTCCTCGGTGGACCCAGACCCTGTACTCACCTCACCACTCGCTCCAGGGGCCTGTCCGTCTGCTGCCATCCCCAGCACCCAGAGGCAGTGAGCCAGGCTCGGTGGCTCTGAGCACCCAGGGAGCCGATGAGTGGCTGCGTGGCCTGTCTTACCTGCAAGAACAGATGGTCCGACCCTGTGGTTGGGTCACCAAGAGCGTGAACAGGCAAAGTTTGGTCATATTTTCAGATCACAGCTAATGCAAGCCGTGCTCAGAGGTCATGACCTATCAATAAGGAATTCACGTGGTGCTGGATCTGAAGTGTAATCAGAGCCCAGTTTTCCTGTTTCCTGGGAAAATAAGGTGCGCACCACATAGAAATATAATTCGTACCATATAGTTTGTCGTTAGCTTTGCAGACACAGCATAAGTTTCCGTTAACAGCACTGAAACCTCCACCTTCACAACCAAGCTTCGTGCTGGGAGGGTTGTGAGGGCATCACTTACTGTCCTCAAGTCAGTCACTTCCCCAAACACCGTGCCCTTCTCACACGGAAGCACACGTTCACGCCTGGCGTGTGTGTGACGATCGCACTGCCAGCCGCCAGCCGCAGATGGCTCAGTGACAACACTCCAGAGTCCTTTCTGCTTTGAGACTATCCCTCTGTTAAGATTGTTTTCCTTGGCAATGCCTGAGTGTAAAGGAAAGCGCCTCGTGGTGCTGGTGAGTGGCCGGCCAGAGCTTTTCACACAGGAGGACAGAGTTGGCTCTTCTTAAAGCCTGACTTAGAAGTGAGCAGGGTTCCCTGTGGGTGAACGCTGCCACGTGACAGCCTTCTCCTCCCTCCGTTCTCCTGTTCCACCTCGGAGCTCGCACCTATTCTGCTTTGCTTGTGTGTTTCATCTGTGTGTTTGGAAAGATGGAAGCTTGAATGGAAATTGTCAGAAACGTTACGTTGTGCAAAGGGGCTGGAAAAGCTGGTTAGCATCGTCTGAAGCCAGCAAGGACCCACACGTGGAGCACTGGCCAGCTCTGAGTTAGGCGGGGGTGTTGCAGAAGAAGGAACTTGTTTTCTTTTTTTGAGGCAGACTTGCTCTGTCACCCAGGCTGGAGTGCAGTGGCATGATCCCAGCTCACTGCACCCTCCGCCTCCCAGGTTCAAGTGACTGTCCTGCCTCAGCCTCCCGAGTAGCTGGGATTACAGGCGCCCACCACCACACCCAGATAATTTTTGTATTTTTAGTAGTGACGGGGTTTCACCATATTGGTCAGGCTGGTCTCCATCTCCTGACCTCAGGTGATCCACGCGCCTCGGCCTCCCAGAGTGCTGGGATTACAGGCGTGAGTCACGGTGCCCAGCCTATGTCTGCTATAATATTAAATATAAAAAAACAGGCTTCAGAACCATATAAGACCATGTGCTGCATAACGGCGTTTGAGTCCATGACTGACCGCAGGGAGGAGGCTGGTCCCCTCAGGTAGTAACATTGTGTTTCTCCTGTACCTTCTCTGTGTTCGGAAACAAATGCTCACCGTCTGCTGCAGTTTCTGCGTGTAGACTGCAGTCACCTTGCTGCACAGGTCCGTAGCCTGGGAGCCTCACAGGTATCGCACAGCCCGGTGTTGCCCAGCCCAGCAGCCCGGATGTTGCCCAGCCCATCAGCACAGGCATCACACAGCCCAGGCATCGCCCAGCCCGGGCGTGTAGGAGGCTGCGCCATCCAGGCTTGTGTGTGTCACTGTAGGACATTCACATGGCGACCAAATCACCCAGCGACGTGTTTCCCAGAACGCACCCCACTGTTCAGCAGCACTTGACCGTACCCAGAACTAGCGGTCCCCTGCCTTTTCACCAGGGACTGGTTTTGTGGAAGACAATTTTTCCATGGGTGGGGCGGGGAGCAGGGTGGTTTCAGGATGAAATTGTTCTCCCTCAGATCATGAGGCGTTTGGTTCTCATAAGGAGCGCGTAACCCAGATCCCTCGCACGCACAGTTCACAGGAGGGTTTGCCCTCCCCTGAGAACCTCATGCCGCCACTGATCTGACAGGAGGTGGAGCTCAGGCGGTCACGCTCCTTCACCATCTGCTTACCTCCTGCTGTGGAACCCAGTTCCTAACAGGCCTCAAACCAGTCCCGGCCTGTGTCCAGGCCATGGGTACCCCTGCCCAGCACCGGCCAGTGTTTCTTTGGAAACACCCACAGGCCCAGGTGCCCACAAAGCTCTGTTCAGCTGTCAGCGGACCCCTCCCTGGCTGTTCTTGGTCACACATCCCTCATTTTGCAAACTTTCCAGAGTGGATCATCATCAGGAAGAAAGGTGCAGCCAGGCTTGGTGGCGCATGCCTGTAATATTGAGGTCAGGAGTTCAAGACCAGGCTGGCCAACATGGTGAAACCCCATCTCTACTAAAAATACAAAACTTAGCCAGATGTGGTGGCGTGCACCTGTACTACCAGCTACTCAGGAGGCTGAGACATGAGAATGGAGAATTGCTAGAACTCAGGAGGCGAACGTTTCCGTGAGCCGAGATGGTGCCACTGCACTCCAGCCTGAGTGGCAGAGTGAGATGCTTTCTCTAAAAATAGAAAAAGACCCTTTAAATCCTGACGTGTCATGGTTTCATTTCTATCTTTACAGTTGCTCTGAATTTTTTATTTTTTGTTTTTTATCTTTTTTGAGATGGAGTCTCGCTCTGTTGCTCAGGCTGGAGTGCAGTGCCATGATCTTGGCTCACTGCAAGCTCCGCCTCCTGGGTTCAAGCGATTTGCCTGCCTCAGCCTCCGAGTAGCTGGGATTACAGGCATCCGCCACCACACCCAGCTTATTTTTTCTATTTTTAGTAGAGACGGGGTTTCACCATGTTGGTCAGGCTGGTCTTGATCTCCTGACCTTAGGTGATCCACCCGCCTCGGCCTCACAACGTGCTGGGATTACAGGCATGAGCCACCGTGCCCGGCCTGAATTTTTAAGATCAAAATCTTTTCATCAATCCCTGAAGGCTTTTGTGTAAAAATCGATAAACTGATTGTGAAATTCTTGTGGGCGTGCAAAGGACCCACAGCCGCCGAAACACTGGGGAGGAGTGAGGCTGAATGGCAGCAGTGCCTGGGTGCAGGACTCACAGAACCACAGTCAGGGGCTGCATGGTGTTGGCTTTCAGACCAATGAGCGGAACGAGAGTCCAGAAACAGGCGCCCGCATGCAGACCACTGACTTGATGAAGGCTCAAAGACCATTTAATGGAGTCTTTTAATAAGGGTGCTGTCATGATAGGATTACTCACATGCCAGAAAGTGAACTGGGAGTGAAAAACCTACCCCGGTTGTGTCAGGGGCCTGAAGGTAAAGCCCAGAACCGCAGAGCTAGGACAAAGCCTTCATGACCGCAGGCCGGGCCACGATTCCCTGGATACGTCCTCAGAAGACTGCAGAGTGACGACGAAGCCTTCATGACCGTGGGCCGGGCCACGCTTCCCTGGATACGTCCTCAGAAGACTGCAGAGTGACGACGAAGCCTTTGTGACCGCGGGCTGGGCCACGCTTCCCTGGATACGTTCTCAGAAGACCAGAGCTAGGATGAAGCCTTAGTGACCACGGGCCGGGCCACGCTTCCCTGGGTGCGTCCTCAAAAGCACGCTCTGTAACAGGGCAAGGCAATGTGCTGGACTTCACCAAAATGAACACTTCTGCTCTTTCAAAGGCCTGTTGAGAAAACGAAAAGACAAACCAAAGACTGAGATGTTTGGAGATGATGTATGTAGGGATTTGTCTCCAGAGTACAGAAAGAGCTCTTGAAACTCAGTAGGAAAACAATCCCGTTTTTTAAATGGGCAGAAAACAATTTGGAAAGACCCTTCACCAGGGAAGATAACACAGGTGGCAAACAAGCCCGTGAAGAAGATGCTCAGTGTGGCTAGTCATCAGGGAATGCAGAGGAAAACCACACGGAAACGCCGCTGTGCCTCTCAGACGGGTCTCAATTCAAGACTGAGTGTACCACATGCCACTGAGAATGGAAAGGAGCACGGACTGGCTCAAACACTTTAGAAAATAGTTTCTAAAACAGTTAAATACATGCACCTTCCCTGTGACCCAGCCCTTCCACAGCTGGTATTTGCCCTGGCACAGTGAAAGCACAGGCCACACAAACTTGCTCTGGACACCATTCAAGTGCTGCTCTGCAGAAGAGCAGACAGCAAACTGGCATCTCCCCAGAACAGGCCACTTCCCAGCTTCAGAAAGGAGCAGGCACGGGCAGACCTCAGAAAACCACGCAGAGCGAAAGAAGCAGAGAAGAGAGTGAATGACAGGCTTCCACTTGTGCCAAGCTCTGCAAGAAAGTGCAACCCGGTCACGGGACAGAAAGCAGATCCGGGGGTGCCGGGGCGCCGTGGGGGCCGCACTGCAGAGGAGCAGAGGAAGCCGGGCAAAGGACGTGGCCATCACCCCCACCGTGGTGATGGCTTCGCAGGCGTGTCTCTCTGATCATACACATCAGCACGTGTGGCGAGTGTGTTGCTTGCATCTCTGTGTGGCTCTAAATGTTTTGTTTTGTTTCTTGGGATAGGGTCTCACTCTGTCACCCAGGCTGAGTGCTGGGGCGCAGTCTTCCCACCTCAGCCTCCTGAGTAGCTGGGACCACAGGCATGCACCATGGCGCCTGGCTCATCTTCCTGTTTTTTTTTTTTTGGTTTTTGTTTTTGTTTTAAGATGGAGTCTCACTCTGTCACCCAGGCTGGAGTGCCGTGGCGCAATCTCCACTCACTGCAAGCTCCGCCCCCCTGGTTCACGCCATTCTCCTGCCTCAGCCTCCCGAGTAGCTGGGACTACAGGCGCCCGCCACCTCGCCCAGCTAGTTTTTTTTTTTTTTGTATTTTTAGTAGAGACGGGGTTTCACCATGTTAGCCAGGATGGTCTCGATCTCCTGACCTCGTGATCCGCCCGCCTCGGCCTCCCGAAGTGCTGGGATTACAGACGTGAGCCACCGCGCCCGGCCCATCTTCCTGTTTTTTATAGAGGTGGGGTCTTTGCCATGTTGCCCAGGCTGGTGTTGAATTCCTGGGCTCTAGTGATCCACCTGCCTTGGCCTCCAAAATGCTAGGACTGCAGCCGTGCACCGCCTATGTGAATGTTCTGAATGAAAGGGGCATTTGGCAGCTTTGCGTCCACCCCGAGACTTGTTTTGAAATGGTGAGTTTGAAACTCACAGGTGTCCCTTAAATGTGACATGCGGTAACTTCAGTTGTTGAGGTTTTGCTTGTGCATTTCTTGTTTTTTCTCTTTTTCGTTCCAGAGCATCGCCCTGTGCTGGGCTGCCGGGAGCTCGTCTTCAGGAACCTCTCCAAGATCCTCCCTGCCCTGTGCCACGACATCACAGACTGGGTGGTGGGCACCCGAGTGAAGTCGGCCCAGCTGCTGCCAGTGCTGCTGCTGCACGCCGAGGACCACGCCACGCAGCACCTGGAGATCGTCCTCCGGACCCTGTTCCAGGCCTGCACCGACGAGGAGGCAGCCGTGGTCCACAGCGTGAGTGGCCGCGGAGCTCTAACTCGAGCTTAAGATCCCACCTCTGTGGTGTGCGGGGCCCGAGGCTGTGACAGACACAGTTGGGAGGCCACCCTGCAGCCAAGACAGCGTTCCCCTCACCCCCAGGCCGCAGCCCCTCCCCAGGCCCGGCCCCTGGGAACCACCGGTCTGTTTTCTGTACCTGTAGGGAACAACGTGTTGAGGGTGAACCCTCCATGCTGGTCTTCAAGCACACTCGGGCGCAGTGCCGGGTGCGTGTTGTGTAAACGTGCGCCAGACAGGGACCAGGCTGCTGACTGAGGACCGAGATGCCCAGAGTTCAGCATTGACATCCGGGCTGTCCTCAGACACCTTCCAGGCCTCACAGGGGCTGTGGGGGCACCTGGCGGCGGGGAGGGCACAGCCTCAGGTGTCCTGTGAGTGGCATCCGTGGTGCCATCCTCTTTCTCACTCCCTGTCTGCACTCGGCTGGTGGTTATCGCCTCGGCAACAGTGGGTACGCACAAGGGAGTCCCATGCTCGGGCCACTCCTGCTCACTAGGCTGGGCCACGGTCTGTGCTGACAGTCACCACCGTGGGGACTTCACACCCGCCCCACAAGGACACTTCCCAGTGCTCAGGAGAACAACTAAAGCTTTGACTTGAGGTTTCAGTTCAAAATATCCTCATCTTGAACCTTAAATTCCATTGAAGGAGGCCTTGCCAGTAGCTTTTACTTTTAGTGGTCCAGGTCACTGTTACTAGCTGTGCGTCATGGCGTGCACCTGTGGTTCCAGCTACCGGGAGGCTGAGGTGGGAGGATCACCTGAGCCCGGGAGGTCAAAGCTGCAGTGAGCTATGATAGCACCACTACTCTCCAGCCTGGGCGACGGAGTGAGACACTGTCTCAGATAAAACAAAAAAAATCTACATCATTGTGACTGATTTAAAGTAAATGTTCCAGTTTCCATGTTATTTACATGTCATGTTTCTACTTTTCAAAAACTACCATTAATTTAAAATTATCTGTAGTCCTCTGTGGAATCTATGGGGGAACAAGAGACACGGGGCGAGGCTGAGGCAGGACAGGAGACATGTGTGTGATCCACTGTACAGTCCCACGGTACAGAGGGGCTGGTGTGTGTGATCTGCTGTGAGTCCCACGGTGCAGAGGGGCTGGTGTGTGTGATCCAGTGTGAGTCCCTCGGTGCAGAGGGGCTGGTGTGTGTGATCCGCTTAGCGATGGGAAGGTTGGGTCACTGGCGTCCGATGAGGGGCATGCGGTGAACCCCGCAGCTCAGACACAGCCTTCCTTTGGGCCGGACTTCGCTGCCTGCGGGGTGTGTCCAGCTCACTGGCTGCAAGCCTGGCCTTGGGGACGTTCTGAGATCACACGAGGACTCTTGTACCTTTCCTGAGGGCTCTGAGCAGGTGCCAAGGACTCACTCGGCCTAACACGGGGCTGTCTGGGGACCACAGTGCCGAGAGCAGGAGCCCGGCTGAGACCCTTGGGTTTGGCTCTGAGTTCTCATGTTTGTTTCTCGCAATGGGAGCCCGGCTGAGACCCTCGGTTTGGCTCTGAGCTGTCGTGTTTGTTTCTCGCAGTGTATGAGATCCGCAGAGCTCGTCGGGACATTTGTCAGCCCTGAGGTGTTTCTGAAGTTGATCTTATCGACGCTGAAGAAGGCGCCCTCCGCCTCCGGCCTCCTGGTGCTGGCCTCCGCCATGCGGGGTTGCCCCCGAGAAGCCCTCCAGCCGCACCTGGCGGCCATCGCCACGGAGCTGGCACAGGCCCACATCTGCCAGGCGTCTGAAAACGTAAGAGCACTTGGGAAAGGGGGGAGTGGAGAAGAGGAGCCTCCCCTGCCTGGCCGTCTGCCATCGTAATGACGTTTGTGGGTCCACCCCGTGCTGCCAGTCCGGGCTGTCAGAAACACCCAGTGATGTGTCTGTGGGTCCGCCCTGTGCCGCCAGGCCGGGCCATCAGAAACACCTGCGGTAGCTGGGGTGCCCTCACTGGTACCCCTCGTTCCAGGGCCTCGTCCTGCACTGTGCAGAGCTCCAGCCCCAGCCCCAGCTCCAGCCCCAGGCGGCCGCTCACATTTACATTGGTTGCTGCACATTTCTTGGCCACACTGGCCACAGTTCTGGCCACGGTTCACGTGTTCAATGACTCAGGAGGTGTCCACGGCGGGGACCGCTGGCCCGTGCTGCTGGGGGTAGATGCGGGGTCTGCATCGTCCCACCCCTGAGGAGCGTGGTCGCATGTCCGCCATCCCACCCAGTCCCCACGCGCCATCCCACCCAGTCCCCACGCTCCATCCCACCCAGTCCCCATGCGCCATCCCACCCAGTCCCCACGCGCCATGCCACCCAGTCCCCACGCGCCATCCCACCCAGTCCCCACGCGCCATGCCACCCAGTCCCCACGGTACCTGCACAGATCGCGCATCCTCGGGGGCGCCGGCAGCCTGTTCCCCATCAGCCCTGCCTGGCATTCCGATCTGTGCTTCACACAGCCCAGCTGAGGATTTGCCAGAGACGTTTGTTTAATTTTAAATTGAGCAGCAAATCCTTGAGCTCAGAAGCTGGAACAGCCTGGGTAGTTGGACTTAATTGTCTGGAATAATCCATAATTGTTTTCTATGGAAGAAGAAGTGATGACTTTGCTTTGGTTTGGAGGCGAGTCGTCCCTGTCTGTGTGTGTCGGACCCAGCACCCCAGATCTTTCTAGGACACAGGGCGGCCCCCACCGGGTGGCCGTCCCATGCAGGGCAGACCTCAGCTCGCCCCTGGAGGCCGGCACTTGCTCCGGCTTGATCATTTCTGGCAGCTTCTATGGCCCCAAAGCTGGCCTGGGGCACGGGGACTTGCCCTCTGCTCTCAGCCCAGCCTGTCCTGTGTCCAGCTCCCTCTCTGTCCTCAGAACGAGAGGTGGGGCTATTAACAGTCATTATTGTGAACTGTTTTAAGAAACCTGTAAACAGTTCCTGGAATACACAGAGGGACGGAAACAGAGCTGGGGTCAGGAAGGAGCGGGGGAGGGAGCCGGACCATGTACTCATGGCGCTTCAGCCACGTTCCAGCTTTTCCCAAAACCCGTTTTTAACACATCATCCAATCTGTGTCAGTTCTGCGCTTTCCTTTACTCACAAGGGGTTGTGAGGATCGCTTTGATTTCTGTATATAGATTTGCAAGCCAGAAGCATTTTTCCCTAGAAGGGCATAACTTGAAAATGTGCACAGGTGCCTAAATCCGTATCTCACAAAGTTTATAGCAAAGAACGTGAAGTTTTCACGTCTCCATGTTGGTTACAGGAAAACGGAATTGTGTCGTCCCGCAGTTGTGTGTTTGGCTCCCCATCTTCCAGTTTTATCGAGGAAAAATTTGCTCACGATCTTTCAAACAGAGACCTCCTTCTGACAAAGCCCAGTCACACAGCCTGGGGAGCCAGCCTCAACCTTCCAGGCTGCGAACGTGTGTGGCCCTTTGGCCAAGGAGCCAGTCACAGTGAACACCCAAGATGTACATTTCACTCCTTCCTTGTTTTCATTTTTTTGTTTCAGAGTGATCCTCCCACCTCAGCCTCCTGAGCCGCTGGGACTACGGTTGTGCACCACCACGCCGGGATAATTTGTTTATTATTTATTTTTATTTATTTACTTTTTGGGACAGAGTCTTTCTCTGTCGCCCAGGCTGGAGTGCAGTGGCACAATCTCAGCTCACTGCAATCTCCTCCTCCCGGGTTCAAGCAATTCTCCTGCCTCAGCCTCCCAAGTAGCCGGGATTATAGGCGCCCGCCACCACGCCCGGCTAATTTTTGTGTTTTTATTAGAGACGGGGTTTCACCGTGTTGGCCAGGCTGGTCTCGAACTCCTGACTTCAAGTGATCCGCCCACCTCGGCCTCCCAAAGTGGTGGGATTACAGGCGTGAGCCACCGCGCCTGGCCCCATTTTACTCCTTAGCAGACTTAAATTCTTGGCAAGAAAGGGTGAATGCACTTAGGTCTCCGTCAGAGTCAGGCCCATGGCTCTGTGCTCTTCCCGCGGCTGGCTGGGCTTTGTTTGTGTCATTCAGGAAGTCGATTATGTTTCCCGCAATTATTCTCCAGTAGCTATGAGAACAGGTTAAAAATGTCTTTCAAGAACAAACTGAAATTGTTTTAAAAGCCCATGTTCAAACAGAAGTCCGTGAAGATGTATTCTAAACTGAGCCTGGCTTCAACCCCCTGCCCTGGGGTTCACAGGAAATGGTTTTAGCAGTAGGTACTTCCAGGTGTCTTGGGCCCAGCAGCGCCCCTGGAGCTCGACAGAGGGGAACTGGAGTCTCCTGGGAGGGAGTTTAGGACAGGTGGGCGCCTAGAGTGAGGAAATGGGTAACTCACCAATTCGCCTCTCACGCAGGGAAGCCGGCAGTTCTGGGATGCCATTGCCATTGTTAAAACAGGAGTCTCTTGTGCTTTCTGAATTAAAAACTTTCCAATCTTAGATAACATTGTTTCAGAAAACAATGTTTGAAATACTCTTTCAAGAAATACTGAGAATTATTTCTTGCTGTATCTTTTTTCTTTTTCATTGTGTGTGTGTGTGTGTGTGTGTGTGTGTGTGTGTGTATGTAGGCAGACACTGAAAATCGTCTGGTCAAATATAGAGGAATCTGTAAATGTGAAGTCTTGTCAGTTCCTCCGAGACGGTGCTGCATTTGTGGCAGGAGGGTGGCGCTTGCTGCACAGGATGCCTGCTTCCCCGTTTGTTCCCGTGCTCGGAGGCGCAGTCAGCCAGGAGGGGCCATGTCTTCTAAATGCACCTTCCCTTTTTAACCGAAAAGATGGTAGCTCCTGAAATGTACATGACAGGTCATTCTAGAAAGCAGCCAGATAGTGTCCTCAGAAGTCAGCCAGTCAGTGCAGGCCTCAGAGAAATGGCTGCGGGAAAAGTCAGGAATGGAATAAAAACAGAAATCGGTAGCTTCTGTGGGAGTTGGGGCCACGACAGGGCCACTCTGCTCTGCCAGCTCCAAGGTAGACGGCGCCACGCAGCTCTGCCAGCTCCGAGGTGGACGGGGCCACGCAGCTCCGCCAACTCCGAGGTGGACGGGGCCACGCAGCTCCGTGTCTTCTGTGGGCCAGGGCGGGGCCAGGGTGCAAGGACGGCGCTGTCGTATAGCGGGAGTGTTTTGTTTGGCATTTCGTGATTTACATCAGTGGGGAATGGGGCTTAGAGTTTTATAACTGATTAGGAAATTTAGAGCCAACCTATTGTCTAGCCAAATAATTACCAAACTTTTTTGAACTCACCCCCCCATTAGTAAGAAGCAGTTTAAACATAAGCCTCCAATATATGTACACTGTTGATAAATCACGTTTAAATTACATACATGACCACTGTCCTAACTCACTCTGTACTTTATGAAACATACATCAAATAGACATTAGAGGGATATTATAAGAAGTAAATACAGGCCAGGCGTGGTGATTCTTATCTGTAATCCCAGCCCTTTGGGAGGCCACGGCAGGAGGATCACTTAAGCCTAGGAGTTTGAGGCTGCAGTGAGCCACAGCTGCACCACTGCACTCCAGCCTGGGCAACAGAGCAAGACCCTGTCTCTGAAAAATAAGTTAAAATTTATTTAGAAAGAAGTAAGCATACACAAAGCCATAGGAATTCTTGGGTCCAGCACACGGCCACTGTGTTGTGGGCTTCAGATCCTGGCTGATTCACAGCGGATGAGGCTGGAGCTGGGAGGAGAAGCCTTCAACCAGCGCAGCCTTAGGTGCAGAGCTGAGACTCCACCTCCCCATCAATCAGGAAACACTTTAAACCATAGAATTTTGTCTTTGTTAAAACTTGGTATTATAGAAATATCCAAAAATGCACGGAAGAGGGGCAGGCGGCAGAGCGAAGATCCGCTAGCTTCAGTGCTGGCCAGCCCTTTGCATTCATGTTCTGCCTGCCTGGGGCCACTTTGGAGGGCGGGGAGAACTCGGGCGTGTTAAAAAGCAGATAATGCAATGCGCCGTCATTTCTCTCACAGGTACCGTGGTGTGCATCCCTAATGCGGCTTCTTCACCACATAGCTGAAGTGCCTGTTCCCATTTCACAAAATAAGCACAGATTCCTTAGCTCCCAGTCTGTGTTGAGTTTTCCCGTCGTCAAGCACGTCCTTCTGTGGTTGACGCGCCAGCACCTGGGGGCTGTCCCTGCGAGGGCTCTCCCATGCCCGCTGCCCCTTGTGAGCCATAGACTAGGAGCCCCGGGCGGGTTCTGTCAGCCCTGGGGCTGGGGCCAGGGCAGGAGCCCTGTATTAGTCCATTCTTATGCTGCTAATAAAGACCTACCAGAGACTAGGTAGTTTACAACGAAAAGAGGTTTCATGGACTCAGAGTTCCACATGGCTGGGGAGGCCTCACAATCACGGCGGCAGGCGAAGGAAGAGCAAAGTCACGTCTTCCATGGCGGCAGCAAGGGAGTGTGTGCAGGTTACTGCCCTTCATAAAACCATCAGATCTCGCGTGAGACTACCATGAGAACAGCACGGAAAATCCCACCCCCATGATTCGATTCCCTCCCACAGGGTTCCTCCCAGAACACGTGGGGATTATGGGAGCTGCAGTTCAAGATAGGATTCAGGTGAGGACACAGCCAAACTGTACCAAGCCCTGATGGTGCCACCGGTCTCTTCCAGGACCTCTACCTGGAGCGCCTGCTGCTGTGTGTGCAGACTCTGGTGTCTGTGTGTCGTGAGGACTGCGGCGTGGGCAGCCTGCAGCTCATGGACGTGCTGCTGACAATAGTGGCCCTTGCAAGTGTCACTGGCCTGAGGGACAAGGTAAGGCTGACGGTGGTGGCTGCTGCTGGGCCTCGTGGAGCTCACAGCTGGAAGGCATCTCTTAAGTGAGGGGAACTGTCTCCCACGCATCCCCTCTGCGTGCAAGCCCCAGGCCTCAAACCTGTCTGACCAGCAAAGACCAGGGATTGAGAACCTTGCGGGTGAGTCCCCAGGTAACAGCCTTCGGGCAGCCCTCCGGCTGCCAGTGTATTCCGGCATCAGGGAGTGGAGACCGCTGTTTAATTTTAGGGTCCACAGTAAAGAAGCAAACAAGAAATAAGACATCACCTTTAAACCTGCGCACCTGAGTGGGGTTTAATAGAGCAGGTGTCGCCGTGCGCATCCCAGCACATCGGGAGACTGAGGCGGGTGGGTCACCTGAGGTCAGGAGTTCGAGACCATCCTGGCCAACGTGGTGAAACCCCGTCTCTACTGAAAATACAAAAAATTAGCTGGGCGTGGTGGCCAGCGCCTATAATCCCAGCTACTCAGGAGGCTGAGGCAGGAGAATCACTTCAACTGGGGAAGCAGAGGTTGCAGTGAGCCGAGATTGTGCCATTGCACTCCAGCCTGGGCTGGGCAACAGAGCGAGACTCCGTCTCAAAAAAAAAGAAAAATAGTGCACGTGTGACTGTGAGTCTACACAGAAGATACCACGATTTCCCACTCTAATTGCAGCGCAGCGTTCAGAATTAGTTCTCGCCCATGGGCTCCCTGTTTATGCCCCAAAATCATCTTTTTTTTCAGTGGAGTCTCTGTCGCCCAGGCTGGAGTGCAGTGGCACGATCTCAGCTCATTGCAACTTCCGCCTCCTGGGTTCAAGGCACTCTCCTGCCTCAGCCAACTGAGTAGCTGGGATTACAGGTGCTCGCCACCACACCCAGCTAATTTTTGTATTTTTAGTAGAGACAAGGTTTTGCCGTGTTGGCCAGGTTGGTCTCAAGCTCCTGACGGCAGGTGATCCACCTGTCTCAGCCTCCCAAAGGGCTAGGATCATAGGCATGAGCCACCGTGCCCGGCCATTATGCACAAAAGTCTTTTAACCCCAACCTCCTTGTGGGCTCCTCGGGCCCCTGGAGGCCGCAGTGTCTGTCTGCCTCTCTGGAAGCTGAGACTTAGTTCTTCTTCCTGTTCTGTCTCTGTGGACAGCCCGTCTCGGCAGGTTCTCTCTGATCTGGGAGATTCACGGTCTGAACGTACCACGGGGAACCTGGTGTGGAGGAGGCTGCTGCTCTCGCCTCCCTTCTTGGGGCCTCTTTAAAAACAAGCTTTCCAAGGGGCGTGTGTCTCAGCAGACGCTGTCACTGATAGGGCCTTAGATACCAGCGAAAGCAGTCTTTGCCTGCTGGCCATGGGGGAGGAAGCCAGGCAGCCCCAGATTCAGACTCCAGGCCTGAGGCAGTGGCCATCAGGGAGCCTCAGCCCTTCCTCTGTTCCTAAGCCCCCAAGGAGAGCAGCCAGCTAAAAGTAAAAGG